TTGCGCCGTTCAACTCAGCTTTCCTTTACTTCACTTTATTAGCCTTCAATGGCGATCAAAACAGGCAGATGGCCCAAATACTTAAGGATTTAATTTACACATATGGAGATGCTTAAATGATCCGCATTAGCGGAGAACACAACCGTGTCGGTCCAGCGCACACCAGGAAGAGAGCAACTCCTTAAAGTTAGTTGCGGTTGAAGCCTTGAAGTTGGCTGCGGCAGCATGGATCTTGTAAAAACAGCTGTTGATAGGTGGCGCATGGGGGCGTATACTTGAGCTCGCAGTTTGAACTATGCACTACCAATTTGCATTACAATATATATTTGACGCAATTCTTGTTTCAAATAAGTACCACATTACTTGGTGAAAATTGTGTGTCGCCGATTGGGTAGGAATGTTTGTTAGGGAAAATGTGAATGGTCATAAGCTGCCATTTGAATATACAATACGGACCAGGGAAACAAAATGTATGTACACTTTTGTAATTTCTGAATTAAATTTCAAATGCTAGTTTTTGCAAATCATAGATCGCCCCAACAGTACGCAATATTCGTCCAATTCATATCCCAATATGATACGCTTCTCAAACATATGCGTTATTTTTTTCAACAATTAATTGGCGTTTTCGCAAATGCTCGCGGGGTAATATTAATGCATATGGCATATTTATTTTCTGTCAAATGTACTCGTCGACAGTCGGCATTTGCTGACAGCTGAGTGCGTTACAGGATTTTCCCAAAATTAGTCAGTCAAATACGAGCATCGACTGTCAGTTGTTGCTGACAAAGCCAGCTGTCAGGAGGGGAATTTCGAAAAAACGTAATCTTTCGAAGTTCTGTGGCATTACCGTATTTTTTGGGGGTTTTCAAAAACAACTATAGCCGAAACCACCGGAATTTTCTGTGACACCCCTGATATATTTATGATCAGTATGACAAGGCTACTCCATATAGCCATTTCCTTATATTAGTCCGCCTGCCTGTATGAACGTAAGGATCTCACAAAGTATAAGAACTAGAATAACCAATTTTGGTATCCAGATATCCTAATTGACTACTATCCTCTTCTGAAATTAATTGTTAAAAATTTATGTTTGACGACATTTTAAGATTTGATCCTACTAGTCCATATATTTGATATGACGTACATGTTTGGACACCTAGGTACATACATACATATGTACTTATGTATACAAAGCATGTATGTTCATAAATATGTACCTCGAGTGAGTTTTGATATTCTCAATTAAAAACCATGTTTGTTATTTCACTTCCAGTGAGTATGATTATTTATAAGGGCCATCGAAGTTGGTATATGTATATACATATGTATGTATGTATAACTATTGCTTTCCAGTTAATATATTGTTCATGTTCGTGCGTGTTTTAATATTGTGTAAGACACATATGCGTCTTTGTGTATTATTTTCAAGTATTAACATGCTTATATTATATATGTACTCAATGGTAGTGCATCATGAATTCCTTAAACAATTTTCATTAAAACTTCAAAAGCCTATTATTCCATTTCCACTGTTTCGTATTCATAATATACTATTGTTGTCATATTAATGGTCATGGATTTGAATATCGTTAGATTGAAATATAAATTTGCAAAATGATATTTAAATATTGTGTATACTGTCAAAATATTATCCTATAATTACTGTTTTATTTCAGATGTTTTATGTATAGCATGCCAGCATGTAAAATGTATTTTAAAAAAATATTTAGTAGCTGCTTAGAAACCGTTCTATTTCGAATATAAGTAATTCTCTAGATTCAATATATCGATAATTATCGGGCTATATTATTATTTATATATGTATGTAGATCTCCCTACTTTTGCACAAATGTATTAGACAAGTTGTTAGATTTACAAGTCTTCTCATTAGGTGCTGCCCTCAAAATGATATGCTTAATATACTCTGCACGATAATGAACTTATGAACTTCTCTCCACCTTAAAACTTTTATACGTGTATAACAATAAATTGAATACACAGAATATATGTATGTAAACAATGTTGTTAGGGTTGCGTGCGGTTGAACAAGAGAGAACGCTACATTCTAGTAAGCCCAACAGTGAAATACCCCGTACACACTCCCGCAAAAAATTTGATATTTTAAAAATTAATTTAATTTTGGGAACCTCGATATCAAATAGTTATCCTAGCTCTTGTACTTGTTGAGATCATTGCGCTCATACAGACAGACGACGGACAGAGCTATGTATATCGAATTGTTTTCTCATACTGATGAATAATATATGTACATACATACATATGTATGTATGTATGTATGTATATACTTTTAGGAGTCTGCCACGCATCCTGCTGTGTGTTATACACATTCGCACTAAAACTTTTACCCTTTAGGTAAAGGCTATAAAAAGTTTTTGGAACGGCCACTACGAAATTAAACAAATTAAAAAGTAGGCTTGATAATGATTCGCTAAATTCTCTTTACATTCTCTAAAGCATTTCAAATAAATAATAAAAAGTTGAAGTTAATATCAATTGAACGCGCATATTCCATTTGATTACCAGTTATTCATTCTCTCGTATATATCTAATGTTATTACTTGAATACCCCTTTCTAGTCGATGAATGGTTGTTCGTTTACTCTTTTTATTTTCTAAAGGATATTGATGTTTGAGTACTTCTACGTAAAAGGTACAAGAGTATATTAGGCTTGTGCAAAGTGCCAAGCCTCTGTTCGTGGAATCTCCTAGATCTCGGAGAATATATATATAATATGTATATACATGTGCTAGGAACTACAGATGGCCGAAAATAGCCGGCCCATTTTCGGCCCGACACGACACGGCCACGAAATAAACCTTTGGAAACACGCACGCGCACGCACGACGAAAATATTTCAAAACACGCCCAACACGAACATGTTATAACCATTAAATGTAAAAACGAAAAATAGATTTATCCATATTATGCACTTTAAATTTGTATTAAAGAATACACATGTACTCATCTATATTTGAGCTAAGAAGCCGAGCTCGTCGAAAAAAAAACTCGTTCACTGAAAATCTGTCAGGGAAATTGACTATATATCTTGATATTTGCTCTAGCAATTCCAAATTTTTTTTAACTTTTTTTCAGTTGTCTATCACACAAATTCTTGGATCAACAGCAGTACATATGTATGTATATAGTTATACATTTCAAAATCTATTCTTGACCTGCTCAGAAAATTTTGTTTGCATTATTAGGGTCCAATAATTAACAAGAGTAGTGTTGACTATATTTTTATACTCTGTACATGAAATGTACAAGAGTATATTAGGTTTGCGGGAGCTGAAAAATGTAACAGGCAGAAGGAGGCGTGGCAGACCCCACAAAGTATATATATTATTGATCAGCGTGACAAGACGAGTCGATCTAGCCCTGTCTGTCTGTCTGTCCGTCCGTATGAACACTTGGATCTCAGAGACTATAAGAGATAAAGACACCAAATTTTGCACAAAGATGCGTTATGTGTGTATTCTATACGAGTTTGTTTTATTTTTTTGATTTTCCCCCCCACTTCCCCCCTATGGGGGTTTTTCCGATTTTCCATTCGTATAATCGCCTATATCTCGGAGACTATAAGACCTAGGCACACCAAATTTTAGTCCAAAATGCCTTGTGTGAGTACGCAGAAATTGTATATTTTGGAATTCCCCTCCCTCCCCCCTCTCCCCCGCAAATGCGATTTTCTCTAACTCCCGTAATTCTTGGAATTTCGAACTAAAATTTTGGAAATACCCCCAGTTAGTAATTATGTTTTCGTATGCCAAGTTTCACTATGATAGACCGATTTACCAAGAAGTTATAGCCATAAATATATTTGCTGCTGCAGTGCTGCTCAAGCGCTGCCCGCAGCTGTTGTTGATGTTGCTGTTTGGTTGACTGCGAAAATGCTTACACAGACACGAATTGATGCGCATAGGCATACATACACTCACACAGACGCAATTGCTATGTAAATGTGCAATTATACACCCTTTACGTGAGTTCGAATACCGAGAGAGGTTAAATCGATCCAATTTTTTTTATATTTTTTTATTTTTTTATTTTCTATAATTATTGTAAATATATGTACAGAGTATTTCAAAGTCGGGACACCCGACTTTAGCTTTTTTACTTGTTTCTTATACACCCCTACACTCCCCCGATATTTGTGAATGTCCGTAACTCCCGTAATTCTTCGAACTCACAGTATTTTACTGTATTTTTTTCATAAGTATTCTGACGTTAGCTTTTCCATTTATTGTATTTGTGAATCTCTAAATCCATTATGCACTAATAATCGGAACGATTTTACTCAAGCGCTGTCCTGTAGTTTGCTTACATTATTGTAGGCATGAGCTTTATAAAAGCATGTGAAGATGGATAATTCCCCAACATGTCATCAATTTTTGTTTTCAATTTTGACATACATACATACATATGTATGTACATACTTACTATTAGTATTACATGTCAACAGGTATTCAATCAATTGATATAATATATTTTAATGCTATTAATTGGTAAACTGCTTGTTGTGTTTATAATGAATACATGTAGACCAAAAAAATAAATAAAAACCCAGCTTTAATCCAATATGTAACTCCGGACTTAAAACTTTTAAATGGAGTGCGCCTACCCGCCGATGTTAGAGATGTGAGTTTATGTTAACAGGACCACAATTTCTGTAGTATTGTCATCCCTACGACACATATGAGTATGTCGGCTGACGGTGGAAAAGATAAAACCATTGAAAATATGGTATGTAAAAATCTTAACATTGATTTAAACAATCATGTGCAACAAAGCAGTCAACTTTAAATATGAGTTCTTGTATTATATTCCTGCCCCAAATTGTGATGTTCAACCATTACATTTCGTTGTTTCTGTGTATAAACATGGCGTCGGATGGTTTTTTGCTTAGACGTGCGAGCGGGACGACCAGTTACTGCAATGTTTTTTATTTTTATCTACGTATGTATGTACATACATACATACATATGTATATGACCATACTCTGTTTAGGTCGGTACTACTTAGTAAATTATACCTCGAATAGGTATATTGTGAGTAAATAACACGATGATTTAAACGGCGAAATGGCTGTAGTGCCTAAGTGTATCGCTGTATATAAAAAATGTAATATTTTGTTTTTCGTCCTTTCCGCTAATAAATAGGACCCTAAAAAGACGTCAGAGGCGGTAGCCAAAGAAAGTGATGATACTGAAGCAGCTGAAGTTCTAGAAATTCCACAACCTGCTAATACCGTGGGAGAAGATACATGTGATTTTGGCGCTTCTGCTGCTACGGCTAACTCCAACGACAAAGTTTCTAGAAAAATGTCCAAAGATGCAGCGGCGACATCATCCGATGCAGGTAAATAAAATAAATCATGTACAACCATTGACCACACAATTAAAAGTTATTCACACACGCATACATATACATACAGTCTGTCAACTAATTGTTTGCAAAATGAAATTTGTCACCAAATTTCAAGTTTAACATTAAATTTATAAATAATGGCATTATTTGGGAATATTGTGCTTATCAATTATTATCAAGATATGTATTAGCTATGGGTATGTCAAAAAAAAGAGACGAATTTCCATGTAAAACGTAAAAGAAACGAAGAAAACAAAACAACGACATTTACGACACTGTCAATTAATTGTTTGCAAAATGCAAACACTGGTTGAAAGAAGACCATAGAAAAAGTAACAGGACGGCCAAATCGAAAAGGACCGATCGCATTTTTTTTACTAGTATTCCTTCCACTAATTCCTTGTAAAATTTGCTTCAGTTTGGTAACGTATCTGTCACTTTGACCATTTTTGCAAACGCACTTATAATAATTTGATACAGCTAGTGTTTTTCCATTATAGCAACTGGAAAACAGCCAAACAGTTGGCCGAAACATATCGAATTAAACTTAGAACAGTCTATAATATCATTAACCGCGCCGAAAAAGAGAATTAAACAGCTCTCAAGGCAGATTTCCATAGCTTTCTCGGCAGGATTGCTCACAAATTTTAAAAAGCAATGAAAATAAACCGCAAACGAGCCTCAGGGAGTTGGCCAATAATATTTACAATGACTGCAAGAAGTCCGTGTGCCATAAAACCATCAGAAAAGTACTCATCACATGTAGCAAGGAAGAAGCAATTCCTGTCTGCTGCGAACATTGAAAAGCGTTTGAATTTGGCAATATTTAATGCGAACCAATCTCATGTATGTATGTAGGTATACAAAATTATTTACTTACCCAGTAGTTAGCTAAGACTAACCACTGTTCAAACGGTGGAGAAACCCGGCACCAGTTTTGTTGGAACGTATATTTTTTTCAAAACAAAATGCAACATTGTTTTTACGGCTTTTTCAATATTTTGTATTTACAGAAGTACTCAAAAGTATTACATTTTAAAGAAGATTTTTGTTGTTGCTGAAAATTTGTTTGCGAATAAAAGGTTTGTTGTCGCTAGTTTTTGTCGTAGATTTTAATAATTTCGAGGCAGATAAAAACAAGTAAAAAAGCTAAAATCGGGTGTCCCGACTTTGAAATACTCTGTACATATGTTTAAAATAATTATAAAAATTAAACAAAAAAAAATTTAATGATTTTACCTCTCTCGGTATTCGATCTCACGTAAATGGTGTATAAGTGCACATTTACATAGCAATTGCGTCTATGGGAGTGTATATACAAGTATGTTTATGCGCGTCTATTCGTGTCTGTGTAAGCATGTTTGCAGTCAACCAAAGCATCAGCATCAACAACAGCTGCGGGCAGCGCTTGGGCAGCAAATATATTTATGGCTATAACTTGTTAAATCGGTCGATCATGATGAAACTTGACATACGGACATAAGCACTAACTGGGGGCATTTGCAAAATTTGAGTTCGAAATTACAAGAATTACGAGAGAGGGGGGAGGAAGGGAAATTCCAAAATACAAAATTCTGCGTATTCACATAAGGCATCTTGGACTAAAATTTGGTGTCTTATAGTCTCCGCGATATAGGCGAGATATACGAATGGAAAATCGGGAAAACCCCCGTAGGGGGTAAGTGGGGGGGGGGTGGGGGGTGGCGAAATCAAAAAAGTAAAACAAACTTGCATAGCTTACACACATAACAAATCTTTGTGCAAAGTTTGTGTCTCTACGTCTTATAGTCTCTGAGATCTAGGTGCTCATACGGACAGACATAGATCGACTCGTCTCGTCACGCTGATCAAGAATATACAGTCGACTCTCGTTAATTCGAAACTCGAGGGACTCTTAAAATATTACGAATTATCGAGAGTTTGAAATATCAAATGGTTCGAAATTTGTGAGAGAAAAATAATAAAACTTTCAATTATGAATGTTGATCAATTATTATTTATTAACTGCACTGTACATATATGTATTCATTATGTGAATTAATTAATCTTTCGAAAGAACTCTCTTATATTGGTTTACTTCAAAGCACATTGCTGCTGCTCAGACTGATCAATAACTTTTTCAAAAGAAAAAGTGCCTGAAATGCGTTTTCATTACTTTTATTTTGTAGACAAGGCTTTGTAAGTTATCAAATAAGGATCTTGCTTCCTTAACTGACACCTCTGCCAAAGGTTCCGATGTATCGTCTTCATCGTCATTATCTGTCGCACATACAATTTCGCCATCGGTTAGTGAACCAGAGACAGCAACATCTTCATCCACTTGAACAAAGTCAGAAAAACTCACCAAGTTTGCACAGCTTACACACATAACTCATCTTTGTGCAAAATTTGGTATCTCTACCTCTTATAGTATCTGAGATCCAGGACAGACAGACATAGATCGACTCGTCTTGTCATGCTGATGAAGAATATATGTATATACTTTGTGAGGTCTGCCACGTCTCCTTCTGCCTGTTACATTTTTCAGCTCTCGCAAACATAATATACAACGGTGGATAAAAGTATTAAGACATTAGAAAAATAAGATTGTTATGGAGATTTTTTATGATTTATTGAGTTCACAAATTTTAATGACTTTGTAATTTATAAAGAATATATTAAGCTCCTTAAATTCAAAAATTGATAATTTTTCATATTACAGTTTCGAAACTAAAGTCCATCTTGTATAACTGTTGGTGGACAAAAGTATTTTGACATTTCAATGTTGGTTAACTAAATGAGGAAAAAATAACAAAGTATTATTAAAAATTAAACCCTCCTTTCTTATCAATGACCTTTTGTAAGCATACAGGAATTGATTGTACGAAATTTTTTAATGTTTCTAATAAAATATTGTGCTGAAGTCCTTGAACTTTCGCAGTCGTTTCCTCGCACGTCTTTCATAAGTTTGAACTTCGTTTTCTTTTTATATAAGCCCATACAATCTCTATTATATTAAGATCGGTCCTTTTGGGTAGCCAATTTAATCTATTGCCTTCGACATTCCTCAAACATGCAGTTTTCATATGGGCCTTGTGGCATGGAGTGTTCTCCTGCAGCAACATAAATGATTGTTCAATGAGCTGGTCATCGAAAATGAATGCGTGTTCATTCAGGACACGTAAATATTTGTCCTTGTTCATTGTTACATCATTTGGTATCAAATCGCTCAAGCCATTGAAGCACATGCACCCCAAGAACATAACCAATCCTCCACCATGTAATCCCCATTCGCCCCTGGGCCTAATTTCTTGACAAATATTCTTTGGCAACGTGCAATAAATTTTTTTCTTCGATCCATGATATTCAAAAGAGCTTTCATTGAAACGATTGCGAATTGTTTATTGGAATTTGGCGAATATTAACCTTTTTAGATTATTTTTTGTTGAAATTAAAGGAATTGGACGAGCTATATACAAGTATGCAAAAAATCGGCCTCCCTTAGCCGTATTTGGATAGTTTTTCTACTTATTGATATTTTATGGTGCTTCTTGAGCTCACTCGACACTGCTTTTGGTGTATTCATCACATTTTCCTTAAGTTTCCTCAATATTATGCGGCCTTCTATAGGCTTTGTTTTGCTTGGTCTTCCCGATCTGAGCTTATTTTTGAAGGAATAATGCTTCTTCTTTTTGTTAATTTGTAATAAATTGATTGTCTAGGTATGTTCTATTATTTGCTAAGGTATTCTACAGAAATATTTGCTTTATACTTAATGACCATTTCACTTCTAATTAATTCACTTATTTAACGTGTTTTGCCTATAATTTAACATAAAATTCGATCAAACAGTGATTATTATTAATAAAAATAGTAAAAATAACTTCAAAAATTAGAGCCCGTGTTTTGTACGGCAAGCGACTCCTTGAAAATGAATAAATGAAAATACTTTTGTCCAGCCAAAAAATCACAATATACTACGCAGATAATCATAGAAAAAAAATTTGTTACGTTATCAGCGCGATCTTTTTTTCTCTTAAAGCTTTTAATATCTTCTCTCTGTTAAAAATTGAATGGATACCGTTACTATTCTAAGTTTGCAGAAATAAGCTGTTTTATATTTTGCAATGTGTTGTCAAAATACTTTTGTCCACTGTTGTACTCTTGTACATTTCATGTACAGAGTATGATTAATAAATAATAACGCAACAATTGGCGTTAACTCACAAACACTTACTGTGTCTCAAAAATCATCCAAGTTTCCAGAGAATGTTGGTCTTAAATAAATATTAGCAGAGCTTGGGCAGACCCTGCCAACAGCTGTTGCAGTTGTTGGTGCTTTTTCTCATCTTTGTACTGCGGGCGTAGGAGAATCTGGATACAAGTTCGGTTAATCTTAAATAAATATTAGCAGAGCTTGGGCAGACCCTGCCAACAGCTGTTGCAGTTGTTGGTGCTTTTTCTCATCTTTGTACTGCGGGCGTAGGAGAATCTGGATACAAGTTCGGTTAATCTGGCTCTTATACTCCCTAAGATCCTGGCGGACAGACGGACAGACTATGTCGTCATACTGATGACGATTATTTATATTTTGGGGGTGTGCTAGTATAATTGGATAATTAATGTTTCTTCATAACTTAGAATTTTATTGTCAACATTTCTGAAAGTGTCATTCCGCGGTCTGCCTAAGTTTAGCATTGCGCTTATACTGGTACTATTGCTTTCATCTAATAACTTTTTCCTATTCGAAGGTGTTTTGTTATACCCTGTACCCAAAGGATGAAAGGGTATACTAGTTTTGTGTGAATTTATGTAACAGAAAAAAGAAGGCGTGGCAGACCCCACAAAGTGTATACAAGTATATTAAGATGACAAGCCGAGTCGATATAGCCATGTCCGTCTGTCTGTATGAACGCAAGGATCTCAGAAAGTATAAGAGCTAGAATAACCAAACTTGGTATCCAGATTCTCCTACGCCCGAGAAAGGGCAAGTTTGTTCATTTTTCCCGATTCACCCCCACTTCCCTGCTATTCGCGATTTTCTATAACTCCCGTTATTCTTGGAATTATAAAATTTGGTATTCACATCCAGTTAGTGATTATATATCCATATCCAAAGTTATATTATGATAGGTTGATTAGAAAGAAAGTTATAGCAATATAACCAAGCCCAAGCTCTGTCCGCAACTGTATTTGTTGCTGCTTTGACATAATTATGTAATGCACACTTACATATGTACAAGTACACAATCACGCATAGACACGATTCTGATGTAAATATACATATGTAAATGTATGTATGCATGTATGGAATATTTTATATTTAATTTAGTTAATTAATAAAATTAATTTAATTTCTTTTTTGTGTGGTGGTACAGGGTATTAACGAGTTGAGCCGGCTCGACTTTAGCATTCCTTTCTTGTTATTTATTATACCCTGTACCCGTAGGGTAAAAAGGGTATATTAGGTTTGTGCAAAGTATGTGACATGCAGAAGGAAGCATCTCCGACCCCATAAAGTATATATATTCAGAATCAGCATGACGAGAGAAATCGATCTAGACATGTCGGTCCGTCTGTCCGTCTGGATGAACGCAAGGATCTCAGAAACTATAAAAGCTATAATAACCAAAGTTGGCATCCAGATTCTTCTAAGTCCGAGCAAGGTCGAGTTTATTTATTTTTTTTTTAATTTCAATTATTTTTCTGAAGATACACTTAAAATATAAAAGGATAAAATGCACATTTATTAATTTGCTTTGAAACGCATGACCCGGGATTCCTTTAAATGCTAAAGGCACTTGAGATTAGGAGCTGGTAAGAAACGAATGTATGAGGAAGCAACACAAAGTAAAAGAGAAAAAACTTGTATACACAAAACATTAAAAAATCTATTAAAATAAAGGTAATATCAAAGAAACAATTTTGCACATACATATGTATATCGATTTTACTGAGGTATTAGCTCAGTCTTTTTGGCTGCTCCTTCTTTGATTGTTCCGCAATTATTTTTCCTAATTATTGACTCTTCATTTATTTGTTATAATAAGTCGACAAGTAAAGGCTGTCGACAGAGATCAAATTAATTAAGCTTAGAAAAAATGAAGAGAACATTATTGACATTATTTAATTGGTACCAAGGGTACGAATGTACCTCAAAGGATATATATTCTTGATCAGGATCTCAAAAAGTATAAGGGCTTAAATAACCAATTTTGGTATTCAGATTCTCTCAACTGCAAGAATGGATAAGTTTGTGTTTTTCCCTCTGATGCAACGTCCGCTCTTCCACTATAAACAATTTTCCAGAACCTAAATTTAGCAAATATGTACATTCTTTTATGGGTCAATTTTTATTTTGACTGTGTAACGCACACACCGACTCGCATAGATACATATAGAGTGTACCCACTCTCAGGGTATTTATGAGTTTTTATTTTGACTGTGTAACGCACACACCGACTCGCATAGATACATATAGAGTGTACCCACTCTCAGGGTATTTATGAGTTGGGCCCGGCGCATTGTAGCTTTTTGTTTATTTCAACATTAAAGCCATAGTAAAACTGTTTTATTTAGTATTGATTTCCTTTAAACAGTATAAACCTCTAATCTTAAGAATCATGAAACCTCTTTATGGTTTCAGATATCATTGAAGAGTGTGAAAAGGGTAACGAAACGCCTCAACCTATTAAAAACTCTGCGAAAGAAGCAAAGGTACACCCGGATAAAGATAATGATAAAGAAGTAAAAAGCCACATGGAAAGTGACTCTACCGATAAACGGAAATCACCAGAGAGTGGTGCCAAAAAATTAAATGATTCTACAGATGTATCTCTTTGCAATCCAGAGATCGCAGGTACCGACAAGTCGCTTAAAAAGTCTGAGCCAAAAACAAAAAACGGCAAACTAGACAAATCCGATACAGAAGTGGATGATTACGAGAATGCTGTTATGGATAAGAACAATGAAGTTGGAGAGGATGACGAAAATGTTGTCGCTCTCGCTGAAATTGATCGTATTAATGATAACATTAACAAGACTCGTGTTGATGGACTGCAAACACTTCATGTGGTAAGTTTAAGCATTGCACAATTACAATTTATGTATATTACCATTTTTATAGTAGTACATCTTTGTAGTACATCTTTGTAATGTAATAATATGTATGTATACCCCGCTGCTAATTATGGCCGAATCGGACCACTATGTTCTAATACTATGTACCTGAAAGGTACAAAAGTATATTAGTTTTATGGAAAGTGAAAATTACAACAGGCATCAGGAGGCGTGGCAGACCCCACATATATTCTTGATCAGCAAATACAGCAATACAGGAACCAAATTTTGTACCTCAGTAAAATTGATATTTGTGCAACTTGTTTTTATAAGTTTATTAGAAACTCTTGCATGTTAGATTTTTACTTTTATTATAGCCTGTACCCAAAGGGTGAAAGGCTATACTAGTTTTGTGCGAATGTATGTAACATACAGAAGGAGGCGTGGCAGACCCCACAAAGTATATATATTATTGATCAGGATGACAAGCCGAGTCGATATAGCCATGTCCGCCTGTATGAACGCAGGGATCTCAGCAAGTACAAGAGCAAGGATACCCAAACTTGGTATCCAGATCTGATACACCCCACCCCCCCCCCCCACTCCCCCGCGGTTCGTGTTTTTCATAACTCCTGTAATTCTTGGAATTTTGAACTCAAATATACATCCAGTTAGTAATTATGTGTCCGAATGTTAAGTTTCATCATAATTGGTCAATTGTGAAGAAAGTTATAGCCATAAATAAAATCGCTGCCCATGCGCTGCCAGCAGCTGTTGTTGTTGCTGCTTTGGTTCAACTTTGTACTGCATACATACACGCATATAAACACGCAGAGACACGATTCTGATGTAAATGTATGCTTTTGAAACTGTATTTAATTTAATTAATATACTTTTTTTTAAAATTAATTCAACATTTTTTTTCATTTTTCTTTTGGTGGGAGGTACAGGGTATTTAAAAGTTGAGCCTGCTCGACTTTTGCATTCCTTTCTTGTTATACCCGTAGGGAAAAACGGGTATATTAGGTTTGTGCAAAGTATGTAACATTCAGAAGGAAGCATCTCCGACCCCATAAAGTATATATATTCTGAATCAGCATGACGAGAGAAATCGATCTAGACATGTCCGTCCGTCTATCCGTCTGGATGGACGCAAGGATCTCAAAAACTATAAAAGCTGGAACCAAAGTTGGTATCCAGATTCTCCTAGGTCCGAGAAGGGACGATTTTATTTTATTTTTTGGAATTTTCTCCCCCTTCCCCCGCTACAGAATTTCGTCAATAGCGACCACATTTCAAATGCTACCTAAACCAAACTTTGCACACATAATTTATATATAATTATCTACTGTTTAAAATTTGATCCAATTCGGTCAATTCTAAGAAAAGTTATTAGCCTAACAAATTCTCGCCAGTACAACCCCCCAAAACTGCAGCAACAAGTTCGCTCTTCTTCTTCTTTTTGCTTCTGCTATGAGCGCATATACCTCAGTGTCGGAAGCTTACCTGGGTACAGGGTATTTCACTGTCGGGCTTACTCGACTGTAGCGTTCTCACTTGTTTTTTTTACCCTGTACATGAAATGTGCAAGAGTAATATTAGATTTGCGCGAACTGAAAAATGTAACAGGCAGAAGGAGGCGTGGCAGACCCCACAAAGTATATATATTCTTGATCATCATGACAAGACGAGTAGATGTAGCCCTGTCTGTCTGTCTATCTGCCTGCCTGTCTGTGCGTATGCACACCTGGAGGTGGCTATAGGAGCTAGAGACACAAAATTTTATGTATGTACGCTGTGCAAGTTTGTTATACCCTGTACCCAAAGGGAAAAAGGGTATAGTAGTTTTGTGCGAAGGCATGGAAGACCCCATAAACTATATATATTCTTGACCAGGATGACAGGACGAGTTGATATAGCCATGTCCGTCTGTTCGAACGCAAGGATTTAAGAAAGTATAAGAGCTAGAATAACCAAACTTGGTATCCAGATTCTCCTATTCGTGTTTTCCCCATAATCTGCTTGTAACTCTGCCCGCAGCTGTTGTTTTTGTTGAGAGACACGATTCTAATGTAAATGTATGCTGTTGAAACTGTACATGAACATGAATCCACTTTTGTATATATGTATTGAATAATTTGTACTTAATTTAATTAAATAATTTATTTAAATTAATTTTATAAAATTAATTAAAAAATTTGTTCCTTCATTTTTTCCTTTCTGGTGGGAGCTACAAGGTATGAAAGAGTTGAGCCTGATCGACTTTAGCATTCCTTTCATGTTTTATTTTTTTAATTTTCCCCCCTATGAGGGATTTCCTGATTGGTTCGTGAACCTCTCCCTCTCCCCTACAATCAGTGATTGTCCATAACTCCTGTATTTCTTGGATTTCTTTAAAATTCGGAAAATACCTACAGTTACTGATTATGAGTCCGTATGCCAAGTTACATAATGATATGCCGACTTAACAGGAAGTTACAGCCATATATGTATATACTAGCGATATTGCCCGTCTGTACCCGACTCAATATAATGTTCCAAATTGTATTTATTTTGTGTGTGCATGACCTACCCATTTGTTTTCATCTTATTAGTTACCAGTAGGAAAGCAATCCCCTATCTTTGGTTTTTAAGAAAAGCTTTTAAGGTATTTTAATTAATATTTTCTGTTCTTGATAAAAAAATGTTCAGTTAGTCCATTACATTTTTTTCTTGTAACTAATATTTTTTTAAGCTCGTTTGGAGCTCGCCTTTCCAAAAGCCTTTCTTAGTGCGCACCTACACTATGTTGGATATTATGAAAGGATACTTGAGTCCAAATTTCAGCTTCCTAGCTTTTACCGTTTGGCTGGGCGTTGATTGCACATAGCTTTTCGTGTCCCGATTTTTCCACGGGAAAATCCCTATAATTCTGGCCCCAGGAAAAATAGCATATTCTTTATGAGAGTATACAAGCTAAGTTTGACGTTAATCGGATTAAAATTGTAGATTTTTCATACAAACGTTGTAGTTCGTTTTCCCCCCTTTGGAGTTCGAATTTCCCAAAACCCCTTCTTAGTGCTCGCTTTTACTGTGAGAGGGATCTTGTGTCCGAATTTCAGCGTCCTAGCGTCCAATCAGTCAGGACAAACTGTGTTATATATATAGAGATAACCAAGCAGTGCTAGGTAACATACGTTAATAATTAAGAAATATATTTAGTATTTGATTACTTGATCAATAATAAATTAATGTAAATAAATTTTTCAATGAAAGTTGTTATTTGTGCAAATGAAAAGAAATTCAAATTTTAATTATTATTTACATTTTGAATACAATTTTTATGGTTTTAGTAGGATATAGCGTTTCCCTATAGTTTTTTGAACAATTGCAACCGTTAGCACATGGATTAACCAAATTTCCAATTCTTTCCATGAAAGTCTTCTGGATATGGTATATAGTACAAGTAGTTCTAAAGCATATTGGTAACTTCTCAAAGGAGCTAAAAGCCGCCCATACCATGAGTAAGCCTCCACCATGATTGAAAGTGTTGCAAATCTGTTGGGGATTGCTTGGATCGCGCCAATATTTTTGGTTTCTATCTTGGCCATCTAAATTAAACATTTCTTATCACTGAAGTTAATCATTTTGAATTCCCAGTCCCAAAAATTGTATTTTTGTAAAATGCAAGACGGGCCATTTAATGTCGATACAATAGCTTTGGTTTATGCACCTTGGCGTCATATTGGAGACCCATTTGCTTTCTGCAAATTTGTTGCAATTATAGCCCAATTATTGGAAACTTTAATTCTGCCCTGATTGGGCGCAGCTCATCACTTTGGTGGCTACCAAAGCTCGAAGATGCCTTTTAGTACAGTCCCCAACTATGGGAATAGCTCCATTCCAGTGGTTTTGAGCACATTTTTGCAGAAATTTTAAAAAGTTTGAGTCGGCATGCCGATGCTGGTTATTTCTTTAGCAATAACGCAGACTTTAATGTTACAATCCATTAAAGCCATATTTCTGATTTTTTATACTCTGTACATGAAATGTACAAGAGTATATTAGGTTTGCGGGAGCTGAAAAATGTAACAGGCAGAAGGAGGCGTAGCAGACCCCACAAAGTATATATATTATTGATCAGCGTGACAAGACGAGTCTGTCTGTCTGTCTGTCCGTCTGTCCGTCCGTATGAACACCTGGATCTCAGAGACTATAAGAGATAGAGACACCAAATTTTGCACGAAGATGCGTTATGTGTGTATTCTATACGAGTTTGTTTTATTTTTTTGATTTTCCCCCCCACTTCCCCCCTATGGGGGTTTTCCCGATTTTCCATTCGTATAATCGCCTATATCTCGGAGACTATAAGACCTAGGCACACCAAATTTTAGTCCAAGATGCCTTGTGTGAATACGCAGAAAATGTATATTTTGGAATTTCCCTCCCTCCCCCCTCTCCCCCGCAAATGCAATTTTCTCTAACTCCCGTAATTCTTGGAATTTCGAACTAAAATTTTGCAAATACCCCCAGTTAGTAATTATGTGTCCGTATGCCAAGTTTCACTATGATAGACCGATTTACCAAGAAGTTATAGCCATAAATATATTTGCTGCTGCAGCGCTGCTCAAGCGCTGCCCGCGGCTGTTGTTGATGTTGCTGTTTGGTTGACTGCGAAAATGCTTACACAGACACGAATAGATTCGCATAGGCATACATACACTCACACAGACGCAATTGCTATGTAAATGTGCAATTATACACCCTTTACGTGAGTTCGAATACCGAGAGAGGTAAAATCGATCCAATTTTTTTTTTATTTATTTTTTTTTTTATTTTCTATAATTATTGTAAACATATGTACAGAGTATTTCAAAGTCGGGACACCCGACTTTAGCTTTTTTACTTGTTTTTTTTTGTGCTTAGCTCGTTTTCGCGGGGCATTTTAAGTTATTATTTATTTTAAGTTCGCAACACAACGATACGGCTTTTAAGAAGCCTGCTGGACAAATCAATTTTCTTTTAAAGTTAAAATGTAAAAGGAATTGCACAATTATCAATTTTCTATGAAACGCGTGACTTGGTATTCTTCTTAATTTTAACGGTACTACAGATTAAGAGCTGATAAAAAACAAATGTATGACAAAACATCACAAAGCAAATGGACAAAATTTGTATGCACAAAACATACAAATACAAAAAAAAAATTTTGAACAAATAAAAATTTTACTAAGCTACCTATGTCTATGCGTATCCGAGTGTGAGCACGCGCAGAGCTTGGGAAGAGATCACATTTATGGATATAACTTTCTTTAAAATCGGCTTATCACGATGAAACTTCACATACAGACACATTAAGCATAATGAATGTACACCTAACCGTTTAGAAAAACAATGATCCATACATATACAACCATACATACAATTTTTAATTTTCAAACCGTGTAAAAGCAGAATTAGGTGTTCTTGCCAAATTTGAGTCTAAAAACGCACATACGGCATCTATATGTAATATTTGATGTCTATCTGTTATAGTGTCTGATATTCAGGTGTTCATAAAGACAGACGGACAGATAGTGCTAGATCGACTCGTCTTGTCATGCTGATCAAGAATATATGTATATACTTTGTGGGCTATGCCACGCCTCATTCTGACTGTTACATTTTTCACATCCCGTAAACCTAATATACTCTTATACCTTTTAGGTACAGAGTATAAATATTGTTTTGTGTGAGAAGGTACAGGGTATTTAAGCCCGTTCTTATCAAGATTCATAAAGGTAGGCCTATTCAACAGGAAGTTATAGCTATATATGTAAATATGACCAAGCAGTGTCCGCAGTGTCCACTGCTTTGCACAGGCACATGAGACATAAACATACACATACATAATAAATTATTCATGTTTTTTTTTTTCATATCTCTTTTTAGCTTTGCTTTGGTGCACAAGGCAAAAACAACGTTGTGAAAAAAAATCTGCGTTCGTTTGCTGGTTTCGAATTTTCGAATGACTCAGGAGAATACAGAAAGAAATTGGAAGCTATAAAAAAAATAGACAACAAAGGATTGCGTAGTATTTGCGAAATATTGGTTCTTGACCGGAGAGGTAGCAAGGAAGCTATTGCGGCCCGTATCATTAAATTTCTCATGGAGCCAGATGAGTCGCTTTGTGATGTGGAAGAAGATCAAGAAGAACTTGAGGAGGAGTCGGAAGACGAAGATGAATTTGAGCGTAAATCTAAGATTAGCAGTGGGGGGGCCTGTCGAAATTCTTCCCGGAACTTTAGTGGCCGTCCTCGGCGTTCCACAGCTGGGAAAAGTAAGTGCTTCTGGTGGTCGTTATTATTACTTATGGCTATACATATGTTAAATATTTAATTTTTTTGGGGTTTAAGAAATGTCTGCCTATGTGGACTTCTCAAGTTCTGAAGAGAGCGATCACAAAGTAGCGGTACCCAAAAGAAGACGTCACGATGATTCCGAATCAGGATCTGATGTAAATATTTTAATGTTTACCCTTGACTGAGTGCCATACTCATGGTTGTCACATAATTTTTTGCAGTACAATCCTTCCGCAAATTCGGACTCAGACGCTGGACAGGGAGGTGCTAGTGGTCTCAGACACTCCGTTCGTAGTGGTAGCGGTCGCTTGGCTCGTAAAAGTAGAAAAAACTCAGATTCTGAAGATGTAGACGAATCGGAGCTTTCTGATGCAGAAAGTGATGTAAGTTTCGCCATCTAAATAAATATAATTTTACCTAATATAAGGCTTGTGCATAGAATCTAACAGGCAAAATTAAGCATCTTCGGCCCCATAAAGAATATATAATCAGCATGACGAGAGAATTCGAACTGTCCGTCCGTCTGAATGACCGCTTTGATTTCGGAAAACGCTGAGCCATATTGACCAAATTTGGCATCTCTGACCCCATAAATTATAAATACATCTTAGTTAACATGACGAGACGAATAAAAAAGACGAATCGATAAAGTCATCATGTCCGCCTGTCTGTTTATCTGGATTAACGCTTGGATTTCGTAAACATATTGGTCAAAGTTGGTTTATAAGCACTCCTAATACTATATACCGGAAACATGAGTTGATTATACTCTGTACATAAAATGTACAAGAGAGTATTAGGTTTGCGGGAGCTGAAAATTTAACAGGCAGAAGGAGGCGTGACAGGCCCCACAAAGTATATATATTCTTGAGTAGCATGACGAGACGAGTCGATCTAGCCCTGTCTGTCTGTCTGTCCGTATGAACACCTGGATCTCAGAGACTATAAGCGGTAAAGACACCAAACTTTGCACAAAGATGCCTTATGTGTGTACACTGTGCAAGTTTGTTTTAGTTTTTTGATTCTCCCCCCACTTCCCCCCTATGCGGTTTTCCCGATTCTCCATTTGTATAATCGCCTATATCTCGGAGACTATAAGACCTAGGGATACCAAATTTTAGTCCCAGCAAAGCAGGGATCTCAGAGACTATAACAGCCAGAGACACCAAACTTTGCTCAAAGATGGCTTATGTGTGTACGCTGTACAAGTTTGTTTAATTTTTTTTATTTTCACCCCACTTTCCCCCTATAGGGGTTTTCCCGATTTTCCATTCGTATAATCCTAAGGACATAGAAGAGTTTTTTGAACAGTGGGAGACTCAGTGCCATGCTTTATTTGGCCTATCGATAGTAAGTAAAAGAATGACACTGCTCCAATTAGCATGTCAATTTGTTGCGGTTTATGGGATTGGGGATCGGCCAATTGTATATTTTTTGGGGGCCCTCCACCAGCTGGTGCTCACCGCTTAATCGGGATGATAACCACAAATCGATCCTAAGATCCAAAAATCTGCGGAAAACTCAGTACAATTGACGCGACACTTCACCACACTATGTATTTTTTTCTTGGAACTCACTTTCGTGTTTCCAATGCCGCGCAAGATCATACACGTATCCTTTCGTTTGATCTGTAGCTTTTGAGCTAGATCCAAAGAGGACTTGCGACCCAGAATCTTACAACGCATTTGCTAAATCGAAATCGCCGCTATTTGTTTAAACACTCATGACTGGTGTTGCAAGAACGACACTGACCGAAGCAGTCGAATGCATTGCATGCGAAGTGGAAGAGCTATCTTGAAAATGTGGTGGGTAAGAGGATGGTGGTAGCACAAGATGTTTGCTAGCAGTCTGTGATGAGAACGTTGACACACGCTACAGTTATTTGCCTAACATCTGGCTACTGTGTGGTCTCGTCAAAGACAGTATATGTGCAAAGACGCATCTTTGGAGAAGTCAGACCTTTGTTACACTGACAAGGCCATATACGCCTGGCAAACGCCAATCGAATGGTCGGCTGAATTGCAAAATTGACAAAGGTTATTATGCTCATTTTTCACTGCAATGAACAAATGATTTACTCTTCTAGCATTTTTGAGTCTGAGTATTATTATTCGACTGCCTGCCTTTCGCTTGAGCTTTTATAGCTTCTTCAGCAAAAATATGCTGTTAGCGTCTGTTGAGAGTAGCCTCACACCCTTGCCAGAGCGGAAGCTTTGTGTAGTCGAGCTGCTCTTCCGACGGTAAAAGCTAGGAAGCTGAACTTTGGACTCAAGTATCTTTTAATAGTGTAGGATTTTGGAAAATTCGAGTTCCAAAAGGGGGGGAGTCAGGCTCCAACGTTTGTATGAAAAATCTACAATTTTGATTAACTTCAAACTTAGTTTGTATACTCTCAGAAAAATTCAAAGAAAAACTGTATACTTTTTTTAAAATTTTTTTGGGGACTGAAATATGGGAGTTTTCCTGTAAAAAAAAATGGGGCACAAAAGAAAACAGCGTCAACAGTCCACAGCCCAAACGGCAAGAGCTATGAAGCTGAAATTTGGGCTCAAGGATTCTATCATAGTGAAGGTGCCCACTAAGAAGGGATTTTGGATAATTCAAGCTCCAAAGGGGGGAAAACGAGCTCCAAAGTTTGTTTGAAAAATCCTCATTTTTCAACCGATAGACTTAAAACTTGGTTTCTAAAATCAATAAATCAAAGACTGAATTATTGGGGCTTTTTTGGGGCACAAGAGGAAACCGCGTCAACAGGGCGGTAAGAGCCCAAGCGGTAAGAGTTAGAAAGCTGAAATTTGGGGCTAAGTATCCTATCATAGTGAAGGTGCCCACTAAGAAGGAGGATTTTGGAAAATTTAAGCTCCAAAGGGGGGAAAACGAGCTCCAAAGTTTGTTTGAAAATTCTGCATTTCTGCACCAATCAACCTTAAATCTGATTTTTATAATCTAAAAGAATACAAACAAAACTGTCGAAATTTGTGGTGGAGCTTGAATTATTGAGGTTTTAATATTTATTTACCTTTTCAAATGAAAAGTTTGTGTTATACATGTTTTCCGATCGATTCCAAATTTGGGGACTGTAATATTCGTAACTAAATCTATAACTTTGCTTCAAGGATTTTCAAAATATGCATTTTTCAAATGCAGGCAGAACAAACAATACAAAATTTCAAACAGTTGGGGACAACTAGGTATACACACACACATACAAGCAGCTGTTCGTGTAGTTGCATGCAATTGATTGAAATAGCCAAAGCAAAATCTGAGGCACTAATGTGTGAATGTACACACATACATATGTACACATCTATGTACATGTACACATATATGTATGTATGTATGTTCATTCGTCTTGCACTGACAGAGCAAGAAATGTTAATTAATTAAAAATTATTTAACATTTTTAAAAGTAATTTTGTTGTTGTTTAGTACATTTGGCATTATGGTTTTCATTAGTAACTTTATGCAGAAACAACAAATTACAAATAACGCAAATATCAAATAGTTGGGGACATATATACACACACTCACACACAGAACAAGCAACAGTTCGTGTCTATGTGTGCGGTTCTCTACGTACGGTTGAAAAAGTAAATAGAAACATCCATGCACATGTACATACATATGTATGTATGTATGTATGTATGTATACATTGGACCATCGAGCACTGTTGAGTCATTTACTGTTAAGCCTATTTTGTTAGTGTATTCATGAGATTTACAAAAGCAGAAACACACCTTTTACATTCACAACAATCATGTTTGGAATTGAAGACACAAATTAGTGTTGAATTAAAAAATTTAATACATAATTCTATGTCTGTATATATGTATGTATGTATATGCCTGCATGAAAAATTTAAATGTATGTACATATCAGCGTTGCCGAACGCTCCAATTTTGGCGGGACGTCCCGATTTATAAATCAAAATCAAATGTCCCGCATCGGACTTTTCGGGGATAACTCGACCGTGCGTACAACGTGCTGAGGAAGCACACAGTTAAGTCAGGACTGGCAGTCCGCCCGGTGCGTAACGAAGTTATGTACATATGTATGTATGTACGTATAACCATACATAGTACTTATTGTACTATATTTGCTATTTGGAAAATGAGCTCTTTAATTAACTTTAGAGAGCGTCGAAAGAAGAATATCATATAGTAAATAAACTTACTTGTATAATTATAAGCACATTTTACTTAGCCCAGCAAACACGGGCAAGACCTGCTAGTGACTAAATAAATTAAGATGGCATTAGCGATTCTCTTGTCGTCACCAATTGGCAGAAGTGAGTCATAGGTGGCTGCCACTGTGTTGATCAGGCTGACGCATATGGCTGGGAAATCGTTTGCAGATTGAGAAGTGTCGATATGTTATCATAAAATATAGGGCAGTGATTATTGTACACTTTTTTCCCGTAACTTGGAAGGCACAGCACATGCCTGAAGTGTCACCAGCCAAACATGTATTAAATGATTGAACTTTTCAATGTCATGCAGTGTGTCATCTTTGTGAACGAAAGTTACGGAAAGATTCATGAAATGCTAAAAGTTAGAAGACTGGTTTATTCACTTGAGTGGTATGAGTACCAGGTATCTCTTTTAAAACTTCACTCGAATTGGAATTACACATTTCAAAACCTGCTTGTATATGTAAATATGTCACGTCATTAATTAGCTGGACCGCACTAATAATATCGTGAGCTCCACTTTTATTTCGTTCCAAAAGAAGGGTTCTACAAGGTGTATTCCAAAGTAAACAGGACTTAAAAAAAACTGAACAAATTGTTTTTTCGGCAAAATCAATTTATTTTATTCAAAATAGTCTCCTCAATACAGCTTTTTGCACGATCCAAAAGCTTGTCGAACGAGTGTTTTAGCTCGTTGGCCGGTGTGGCCGCCAGTATGCCGGTGCAGGCCTTTTGAATGGCCTCTACGTCTGCATAACACTTTCCTTTCATAGGCAAATGCATTTTTCCGAAATGGTAGAAATCGCACGGTGCCATATCAGGTGAATACGGAGAGTGGTTAATGGTTAAAATGTGATTTTTGGTCAAATAATCGGTCACAAGCGTCGATCGACGAGAGCAATTTTTGGTTGTCAGTCAATTTGTGCGGAACAAACCGTGCACACACCTTTCGTAAGCCGAAATGTTCGGTCAAAATGCGATAAATCGATGTTTTGGAGATGTTCAATTCCATTTCCACAATTTCAATGATGATTTTGGCTGATTTTTGATGAATTCACGCACAGTTTCGATAGAATTTTCGGTGATCACGAATTTTGATTGGCCCACATGTTGATCGTCATTTATGTCCTCACGACCACTTTGAAAACGTTGAAACCACTCATGCGCTCTGCTACGGGATAGGCAATCATCGC